AAATCACCACATAAGAAATCCACGAAGAACTTCTCTTTGCTTATAATTCAAAAAATGTCGTCTAAAAAATAGCCATAAAGGAACCACTTGAGAATGACTACGAGGATGAAAACGGTCAAAGATTTAGAAGTTCAGATCAAGAATAATATTTACTAGGCAGAGTTTACTTTGGGGGCACATCGAAGTTTCATGAAAAAATGTACTCATCTGCTCATCAAGACGTACCCATATTTGGTAGTCGAAGTTAACTGAATGACATCGAGAAAGGATCATTCCTTAGATTAGCGTATTTATGCATTCAAATCTTGAATGCTACTTGATTATCGATAACAAACCTGCTTTCTGTGGAAATGTTCCCATCGGATGCTATGGAAATTGGTGAGAAAGGTAGATATAAGACATTTGCATTTTGTTAATTAAAGATTTACATTAGGAGCTACTGCATGCCTTACAGCAGAGCTTCAAAATGATAAATAAGGATGTGACAGTGCTCTTAGATTTTTTGAAAGCCCTCATCTTTACGTCTGCAATCACGGGAGTGTTTTCGCGGCTTCTAGCAAAAGATAAAGCGCTTCAAGCAATTCAAATATTTCATGTAAGAACGAAACTACTGCCAACATCTTGATTGAATTTATTGCATTTACTACAACGAAGTGGTAGAAAACTGTGAAAAAACATTTATACTTCAATGTTTATCCTAACAAAAAAATCGTATCGAAAAAACTTTTATCTTGAGAGGATTAGGTCATTTCAACATTTTTGCGACGAAGACCTCTATGGGAGTCTTTTTGAAGCCGCAAATGAGACCGGCAAGACTTAGATGGTGATCCTCCTTTTTCCGCTGGCTTATCTCAGCACAGTTTTGTTTGCCACACTTTTATAAGTAGTTGATAGCTTATGAACGACCATGAGAGAGTGTCTCATTCAAGATTCCTCTCATAACAATCAAAAACAAACTTTTCCTGCACGAGTTTAGTGTAAGGGCATAAATCAATGTGTACTTTAGTAAAGAGCCGCCAGTTATTCATTAGCTTCTACCTGGTAAAATATATGAATTGAAAATTGCATTTTTTTCTTATTCATTTGGCTCGACTTGATGTGACAACGAACACCTCCAGCGAACGCACGGATATTTGCAGAATAACGACTCATTGCGAAGCTGAAAAATTCGATGATGTAGAAGCGATGTCCGAACAAAACTTACATTAACCAGGTGGGTTCTTTTCGGTTATGTGCCGCCAAATGGATATTCGACCCCATTTGCTGAACAAGAATTTGTCATAAGGGAAAAGTTTTTTTTTTTAACGATCCAGTAAAAAGGATACTCAACAATTTATTTTTTATTATTTGAACAATTTATTTGGTAACATGCAGGACGTGCGGGAAAGATTATACAGACGAAACGGGTAGACCACTTTCATTCGCATAAAAGGACATCCAGATAGCAAATCTGAAATAGATATACCAAACCTTTAGGCTTACGTTAGGCACAAAAACCCAACAACAAAGATTTTGATCTGACTGCCATGATGCTAGGGCAGAAATCAAAAACATCCACGCGCAAAACCTTGAGCCAATCATGTTCCGGTGGGTGAGACGGCCACGTGAATTGAAGCGATGATCACCGATTTTCGGGCATATGAACGTGTAAAGTGTCGCGTCAGCAGTTCACTTGACCGGCCTCATCCACCGTCACGAGAATTGACCAGAGACCATTTTGTTCGCTCATAAGAATTCAACTTATTTTCCCTGTTGCTTTGCAAGGAAACGGTTTTTCAAAGAACAATTACAGCATTGGAATCAACAAATGTTACGCTATGGAATGATTACTAATAGCTCATAGATAGTTCTCTGTCTGGCGAGAAATATGCGCTTCTGAGTCATAGTTTTGTGCGAATTTCACAGCGTTATAAATGGGTATTTTCGAAAATTGGGTAACGTGGAGCTATAGCAAGAAATCTTAACTTTCAAATGAATACTACCACTTCCATGGAAAGTTCTTGTCCACCGAAAGAGCTTGCTTTTCATCTGGTGTGCGTTCATGATAGACAGTAGCTAATTCGATAGTGTAGTGAAAACAGATCAACGTAATGAGCGGTTAGACCAACAAAAGCAATCTCTTTAATTGGCGATTTACAAAAAAATTGCTCTTTCGGGCGGGTTTAATTTTTGCATTTTTGTCCTAAAACAAGCAATTTGCAGGACATGGGGAAATGAATATCAATAGGCTTTTATGCTTGTAAGCTGTTCATGGATATATAATTACGCATGTTGAAAACTGCTTTTAAAGCAGTCCCAAGTGTTGGTGCTCTCAAAAGGCGGCAGCCTAGAGGTAGGCTTGCTATCGCTATACATATAACATGAAATCACAATCGTAGACGACAGTTGTCTAGTCGTATATCGGAACTGAGGTGTGGTTGGAGTGATTATTACAGAAGCAGTTGATGATACTTTTGACTGCAGCACAATGTCGTATAAATATTTGTGAGTGCTTCGATAACGGTGAATTTGCTCTTCTAAGAGAACTGACCTGAGACCTAACAGAAATTGAGAATTGATCAAAAGAAAGCTGAATGTATTCAAAGGCACACTTATTTCATAATCTACAATGTAGGCAACTAATCACTTTTTTCATGCAACAAATACGATGGACAAAGCATTATTGCCATACAACAATAGTATAATTATATTTGTTGTCCATACACTTAAAAGGCATAGAATATTAGAGCCTCAAGAAACGGTGGCTATTCGTTTTTTGGGCTTCTCTCGGGTATACCTAATGAACTGGATTTCAAACATTGTAACACTTCACTAGATTCGAGTCCATGGAACATCGAACACCTACAACGCTGAGACAACTGCGGGTGAACCCACGATTTAGATCCGAATAAGACTTAGCCAGCTCGTCTTAATCCAACAATGTCAGAAATTACTGACAACCATAGGTCAAGTGAAAGTAGGTTATTTAGTAGACATAGCGATTCGGAAAGTGGGCGGAATTTATCAAATCGCTGCCCTAACGAAAACAATTTGTGTAGGAGTGGTTGAAGCAATAAAGACATTTTTCTCAAGCAGAGATTCACATGCATTCTCGGACAGGCTCTTTTTCTGCAGCATATCTTGATTTACAAGATTGGACAACTAAAGTGAGTATGAGGGAGTATAACATAGGAAAATAGACATAGACAAATCTGGCACCTCATTATCCGTCTTCACAGTACTATCTCTCACTGAGCGGATTCCAGTACTTATAGCATTCAATTCGTTTTTCGTCTACTTCTTGGACGTCGTAGAATACTGGTTGAGCGCGTTTCCTTGCATTCTCAAGGATAGTCTGCCCGTGGCGTTCCATAGGGCGTTCGTTGTTGATTGTCGAAGAGTGTTGAAGGGAGGGGAGGGAGGTTCAGCTCTACGGACGCTGCGACGAGAATCACGATCACTCGGCCACGGCGCCCCGGTGTTCAAGTCGCATAAAATAATGCTGATGTACATGGAAGAATATAGTTAATATCAATACGCACATATCGAGAGATGAGTTGATGTTGAGGTGAAAGTGATGGAACCTGTTGACCACACGTTAAACAAAGGAACGTATAGGCGCGCAATAATTTGCTCTCTGAAAGAAAACATTTCCATTTAAATGACGAAAATGCGCCAGTAATGCGCGCCAATATAGTAAAAACTCAATTTCATTGTTGCTGTTACAGCTCAGTAAGAGGACATCCGTTATAAACAAAGATCTTGATCAAATATTTCATAAATGATGCTACCGATTGGTCTCTTGAAGTCTGAAAAAAAAAGAGAAAAAGGCGTGTCCCTAAAGAGTTGGATAAAGGAATGTGTTAAGCAATTGAATCAATTTTCTATCGAGCTCGAACTACCAAACATGTTATCCAGTTATCTAAAAATTCATCATCATACGATAATATGCATGGCGATGATAAATATCATTGTGAAGGCACCCACAATGACAATCCTATTTTCGTTCGAAACACATGCACATGTACATGCACATGCGGTAAATATCTCAATCAACGAAGGGGGTTACGGGATCTTCAGTCGTAAACACCGCAATTAGATGTCACTATGGTGACGTGATGAAGATAAAATGAAATCTTAAAGCTTAAGTCGGTCTGCTAGCCGCTCCTAGAAACGCCATACATCGATGATAAAGTGATAGTACAAAGAGGGCGCCTTGTGCTTTAGGGCTTATTATAAATCAGAGCCCATCAATCCAGCGGGAACACGCCCCTTTGAGCTCCGTATAACTGAGGGAAGCAGGAAGGCAGAAACATTCTACGACGCTCCCACCCCTGCCGAATAGCCACCTCATCTTCTATGCCACCAACTATCAACCAGATCATCTAGCTATTGTGATGCGGGAACATTCACAGTGGCGGCAGAACATACTGCACTGAGTATGGTTGGTCCGCTATATATATACGTATATATATATATATGGCAGGCAATTATATATATATATATATATATAATATATATATATATATATATATATATAATATATATATATATATAACCATAACCACGGCTCTAGCAAGTCATACATAATGCAAAACTTTTACGGGACGGCCATAGTAGCATCTAACAGTCAATCACCCTTGGTAGTGTAGTAGTAGTATAGTGGTTAATATCCGCGTCTGCACATGCGAGACTCGAGTTCATTTCCCGCCGTGGATCTAATCACGTATTTCTGACTCACATAAGGCCGGCGGCTCGATTCCGCCCGAGACCCCCATTGTCTGCCCAACTTCTGGGTCGCGCTATAGCAAATTGTCGTGTCTCGCATGTTGCGTATTGTCTCACTCAGGTTCACGTCTCTCACGCTCATCGCAGAGAAGCCTTTTGTATCGTTGTAGTAGCAATCTTGCTGTCGTTATCAAGCATATTAACTTAGTCTAAATTCTTTCTATTTTGACTGCTACTTGCAGTGGTATGATCTTAGAGTATACCCAATATGTGGAGTACTGTGCAAAAACGTTTGCGTCAGCCGGGATTCTAACCCAGATCTCACTGTTTCCGAGAGCGTATGCTAACCGTTGCACTACCGACGCTCGCTTTGCACGCTATAAGATCATACCACTGCAAGAGCGTAAGTAAGAGTGCTGTGCAAAGCGAGCGTCGGTAGTGCAACGGTTAGCATACGCTCCCGGAAGGAGTGAGATCTGGGTTCGAATCCCGACTGACGCAAACGTTTTTGCACAGTACTCTACATATTGGGTATACTATAAGATCATACCACTGCAAGACACAAGTGGGTTCAATGCCGATAGCGGCTGCCCTGCCAGACCGTCGACGGTTGGCTGTTGGCAGACAACGCGTTATAGCGTAAGTAAGAGTGCTGTGCAAAGCGAGCGTCGGTAGTGCAACGGTTAGCATACGCTCCCGGAAAGAGTGAGATCTGGGTTCGAATCCCGACTGACGCAAACGTTTTTTGCACAGTGCTCCACATATTGGGCATATTAACTTAATCAAGCACCTATTTCGTGGTACACTTCCATATATAGCACATCGTTCTCTAATCTCTCTCATATAATCACTTGTACACTGTCTTTCACTATTAATCTTTGTAGGGGCCTCCTGTATCACTCTTTCGCAGTAATTTTCAAGACCGACTATCAGTTAATCTCGGCATATTAGGAATAATCGGTGATATTTTTGTTCAGCAGTTCCGATGTGTTAACTATAGTATTTTATTGAATACAGTAATGCAATACAATACAGTAAAGTAATGCAGCGTAAATAACAGTCGTGGTGGCTTACATTTCGGCAAGATTTGCCATCTTCAGAGCCTGGAAAGGTCAAACTGATTCGCAAATCATTCAGTCAAAAGCCTCCGTAACCTCAGCAGAAAACGTAAGAGACGAATTTTTGGATTGCATAGAAAAAATTTAATACAAAAACACACTCACCGCTTAAATGTTACAGGTCTTTCGATTATTCATTGAAGACTTACCATTTAGAGTCAATGCGTAAGTGAGACTGTGCCTGGCTCAGCCCGTGAAGATTAGCCTGAGGTCATGGTGCGAGGTCACGCGTATTACGAGGCACTCCTCTTTGCGGTTCATTTTCGAGCCTTTACTATGTATTCAAAAGGCTTTCAAAGTTGTACGCGCGGATGTTCTTAATTCCTGTGCAAGGACAGTGAATCTGACGTCAAAATCTGCAGATTTATGCTTTTGCTCTTATGCGTGCCTAGTGGGGTTTTCGGTTCGCAGTTACGTTTTCCAACTAGATGTACTTTTACGCGGATGCGGAGTGGTCTATCGTTTCGCCAATATACTCATCTCCGCATGCCTCACAAGAGATCAGGTAAATCGTACCAGATCTCATGCAGTCGCCGTCTCTGCCGTTTATGTAAACTTTACAGCCACTGATTTCGAAGAGATGATCATATAGTCAGTTGCGGATTAATTGGCGTTTTAGTGTATTTGGTGGTATCTCGACTACTGCTACCAAATTATCCAAACCTGCTTTTTTAAGTAGCGTTTGATAGCTGCGCTTACTTTGTTAGAGATAAAGGGTAGATGAATGAAACTTTCCTCTCCAGGCTTTCCGTTGGGAGTGTCGAATTTCTTTGATCTCAACCTGTGGAGCTCCTTACCGTGTTGTAACTGTAAGAAATGGCTATTTTTCGCGCCAAGCTTGGAGGACTGTACTTATGTATTTTTGTTGTTCACACACTAACAGCTGTTCGAAACATGTTTTTGACATGTGCGCATTTTGTGTGCGACGGATGAGGGGTTAGGTAATGAACCAAGATGCTTTTGTTGCTTGGCTCGCGGTACCATTTTGTCTTGTAGGAGTTCTTAGATAGGTTAACTTGAACGTTTAAAAAAGGCAGCCAATTTGTCTTAGGATTTTCACGGATGAACTTAATGTTCTCTGGCTGGCAACTCAAAATATTTGTGCATCTCCTCTTGTGTTGAGCAGACGACAAAGCAATCATCTGTATATCTACAGTAGAGTAACAGCCGGAGATCGATTGTTGGGGCTTATACTTTAGAATTAAAAGCGATAGCAAGGGTCGGAGCTAGTCGTTGTCCCATTGCCAGCCCTCTGATCTGCGCAAAGTAAGTCCCAGACCATCTAAAGAATGAGCAGCTTAGGCACTATTATAAGAGAGCCATAACCTGCGAATGGAGAAACCATTCATGTTCGTGGTTCTTTCGTACTCCGTTGGAAGCTCTCATATGACTTGCATTGCAGACTCATTCGACACGTTTGAATAAAGAGCGGTCACGTCGAAAGATTCCATTACGTACGCGTCGTTGGGAAAACGCATAACGTAGACGATCCGAAGACATTTGGGTATTGGTAAGATGAGTCGCAATGCGTTTTAGTAGTTGGACTAGTATTATGTTTAAAAACCACATTATTCTATCCGTTGGTTCCTCCACACAGCTGATGATGGGTCTGACTTTGAATCTTGATGGATATAGGAGACGTAAATTCACCACTGCATACCAACTTACGTTATTCAATAAGTGAGTACAAGGCGGGGCATGATGGTGAGTCGAGTTTCAGCTGAGGAATAACGGAAGGCTTTGAACCGGCCGAACTTGCTCTTTTTACCCATTCACTATTCAAATTTCGTTATTGTTCCTTTCATTATTATCTGAGCCAACTTGTCATGTGGTCTGGTAAGAGCTATTGTACAGCCCGATACACGTGTTTCGTCCTTACAGACTTGTCAGTCGAGCAGAACCCGTCGTCTTTCGAAATTTTTGTAGTCAGTTCTCGCGGGAACTCTGCTCCCTTACAGAGAGTCATCGAAGACGAACGTTCTACACTCTATGCCAAGTGAAATTTTCACCTAACACAGAGTGTTGCTCGTTGGCTGGTATTTTTATCATATTATACCTTACTTCGAGTGCCTTATTAAGTTTTATTATTAAGTTTCTTATTAAGTTTCGTTATTGTTTTTGAAATTCTTTATCACATGATGGACGATAGAGTGTAATTTCCTCTAGGTATTTTATTGTTATCTCAACATCCAACTGATGGGGAATTACCACGTAATCTCCTCCCTTATCACTAACTGATGGTCTCATGATTTAGGATTTTATTATCTCCCGTATCTGTAGCATGCCGTTTTTCTGAGTTGATGTTAGATTGGAACTAAACTTTTTCGCGCGATAGTGGTTAAGGATTTTGAGAGTCCTCGCCCGAAAATATACGAAAATTGATATCTATTTTGCTATTAGAGCTTTGCTGCCTAAAGAGCGTTCGACGAAAAGTTGGTGTTGGTATTACCCCAAACTTTGTTGCTCATGTCTGTTAGATGTTTCTATTCTGGTTTTACAGCGGAAGTGATCTTGAAGCTCTTGTAAATTGCACGCGATACTGCACAGGGTCTCCTTAGTAATGGGTTGTGCCGGTGACAATTTTGGGCCCACTTCGAAAGCGAGCGCGCACTATAGGGGAAAGTCGTGCCTCCTAACACGGTGACCCTTGATGTTTCAGTGTTTTGTTGAAGTTTGCCTATGCGAATTGTTTGAAAATTTTTCAAATTTTCTGCATAAGGATGCTTTAGCACTTGACCTGATAGATTCGCAAAACAAAATTGACCCACCCTTGATTCTCCTCCAAAGGCGATACTCGAAATATTGAACAGAATAAAATTCTTCCGACTCACACTTTTTCAATTGAGAATACATTAGATCTTGTTTAAATCGAAGTGATTCTCGTAGGAGTCTTAATTCGTCTCTCTGGTCGTCCGCATACCTCGTGAAACCGTTTTCGTTCGATGATATTTGGAACGCCTCGATGATACAAGCAGCGACAAAGGAATAGAATCGTTTGTCTAGCTAGGACAGTCTTTTGCTTTAGGTACAGGGCTTCTTTTACTAGTCGGAACAACTCTGGCTAGGTATCTTGAAGTAATTCTCAAGTATACCAATCACCATATCATATATGATAAAATATATGATATATGATAAAAAATATCAAAGTAACTATCAGTTAACCTCGGCATAGTAGGAATAGATCAGTGGTATTTCTATACAGCACTTCCGAGGTGTTAAATATAGTCAATACAGATATGGCTAACGAAGTAATGCAGCATCAATAGTACAACAATCAAGGTGGCTAACGTTTCGGCAAGGTTTTTTCATTTAGGCACTCTCTTGAAGGAGTGCCTAAACTATTCATTCTTTAGATGGTTGGGAATTATTTTGCTCAGATCAGAGGGCTGACAACGGGATAATGACTAGCTCCACCTTTGCTATCGCTTTTATGTCTAAACTAGAGGCCCAACAGTCGATATGCTGGCATTTCTGAGAGCAGCTGTAGATCGACTTAAGCCTTATGACTTCATTTTATCTTCACCACTTCACCACAGTGACATCTAATTGTGGTACTTACGGCTGGAGACCCCGTGACCCTTCGATGATAGAAATGCTTACGGCTTGTGGCCGACCCATAGTTGAAAGCTAATAGTAAACAGAGCAATAGCGAGTCCAAAATTATTATGTTTATACTGCTTTTTCATAGTGTTACGACGTTTGAAGTGTACTTGAGAGCATAAAGTGGTAGGCTAAAATTCCAGCTCAGACTGGAGCTGAACCCGCGTTTCGCCCATACCGGATGGGCGTGCTACCACTACATCACCACCGAGGCTACCGCATACCCACCCGTCATTCTTCAAGACTCTCTGTCACAGCTATTAGCCAACCTCTACGAATTTTGGTTGGATAAGCAATATCGCTCTGGGAGCGGGGATTACTGGTAGCACGCGCCCCGTTTGAGTCAAACGCGGGTTCTACTCCCGTCTTAGGTCGAAGTTTTGCCTACCACTCAATTCTCGCAGCTATAAACTATAATTTATATCCAATTTTGTTCAATCGCATAAATATGGGAATCTCTACGTCAATTTCCATCCTCATCTTCGGTGTAATTAAAGCCATATCGAGGTGGTCACAGCAATGCTTTCTAAACAGAAGAGGCTCTTGCGACACTTTCGTTCGATTTCGTTTCTGTTATTTAATAATTTATTTTACGCATTGAAATCGTGCGTATGGCGCAATGGTTAGAGGTGCTCTGCAACTTGCAC